AAAAAAAAAAAAAAATTTTTTTTTCAACGTTTTTATTTATTTTTGGGACAGAGAGAGAGAGAGCATGAACGGGGGAGGGGCAGAGAGAGAGGGAGACACAGAATCGGAAACAGGCTCCAGGCTCTGAGCCATCAGCCCAGAGCCCGACGCGGGGCTCGAACTCATGGACCGCGAGATCGTGACCTGGCTGAGGTCGGACGCTTAACCGACTGCGCCACCCAGGCGCCCCAGCATTGTCTCCATTTTAACTGCAAGTAAGCTGAGACTTGGTCAGGTGAAGTGTGTTGTCCAGGTTAACATCCTTCCTAAGTAGTAACGTGGGATCTGAATCCACATCTGCCTCTCTCCTTTATGACATATCCCTTTTCCAATAGCCTCACGATACAGTTCTCTCTCTCTCTCTCTTTCTCATGCACTTTATGAACTTTACTCCCTTGGCACATCACACTGTGGAGTGGCCATACTGTGGAGTGGCTATATGGTCACAGTTACAAAAACAGAGCCCCTGCAAATGTCTCTTGTAATATCTGTTGTGCACACCCAGCCAGCTCCTTCCACATAATCAGGAAAGCAAATGCAGCCTCATTCTTGCCTCAGTAGCAGCAGATCAGAGATCAGTCTCCCCACGGGCCAAGCCCTGGAGTCATGCTGGAAACTGGAAACCCACACCGAGGACACCAATACCATGAAGTCAATTCGAATACTGCTTTCACCCTACAAGGCAGCAACCAGGGAGTTAGATAGGAATGAGTTTACAACTGAGATCTCTAGGAATGGAGATCAAGGACCCAACTGTTTCCAAGAAGCTCCTTGGCAGACTTTCCCTCACATTTAACAGATCAGAGCTGCATAAAATGTTCATGCCTGGAACACAGCAATGAAACTGAGAATGGCAATGGACGTACCCTGACTGGTAGGACTAATCTGCATTTCCTGCTGAACTGAATGTTAAGGTCAAGTTCCCAGATGGATAGCTGTCTAAATAAAATAGGGATTTTTTTTTTTTTTTTTTTAAGGAGCATAGATGTCAGGTTGGCAGCCAACCTCTTTATTTTATTAGCCCTTTATTTTAGTAGCCACTAAAATAAATTAATAGGTTATAGGAGAAAAGCCCAAATTGATATTTAAAAAGCAGTTCATGGGGCGCCTGGGTGGCGCAGTCGGTTGAGCGTCCGACTTCAGCCAGGTCACGATCTTGCGGTCTGTGAGTTCGAGCCCCACGTCAGGCTCTGGGCTGATGGCTCAGAGCCTGGAGCCTGTTTCCGATTCTGTGTCTCCCTCTCTCTCTGCCCCTCCCCCGTTCAGGCTCTGTCTCTCTCTGTCCCAAAAATAAATAAACGTTGAAAAAAAAAAGAAAAAAAGCAGTTCATAAGATATTCTTTTTTTTTTACAAACCTAGGAATGGAGTGGCTACCTCCTTAGACTCATGGTACAATGGGAAATAGATATTTGGTATTTGTCCCAGATTCCTGGCACAGAGCTCCTAAAATCTCTGGACTCTCTGGAGAGACAAGAGTAGCTTTTATATGCCAATGATTTATTGGTGGCTGGGGGTCCCCAAATAGCCTCAGGATGGGAGTTGGTCCCCAAAAAGACCAAGGCATGATTAGAGGGTTGGAACTTTCAGCCTCACCTCTGGAACCTCTGGGAAGCAGAGAAGGGCTGGAGATTGAGCTTGGTCAATGATTTAATCAATCAGGCCTATTTAATCCACAAAATCTCCTACATTACAGGGTTTGGAGAGCTTCTGAGTTGGTGAACACTTCGAGGTGCCAAGAGTGTGGTGTACCCGAACCGCACAGGGACACAAGCTCCTGTGCTCAGGACCCTTCTGGACACTACCCCATGTACCTCTTCACCTGGCTGTTCCTTTATATCTCTTATAATAAACTGGTGATAGTAAGTAAAGTAGTTACTTTACTGAGTTCTGTGAGCTGTTCCAGCAAATAACTGAACTTGAGGAGAGGGGGTGTGTAGAAACCCCTGAGGTACTGTTTAGGTCCACTGACAGAGGATTAATTGAATGAATAATTATATTCTACCTAATGGAATATTATGTAATTATTTAATATGTTAATACATATTTCCGAAAATAAAAAATGTCCACACTATACGGCTCAATGAACAAAAGCACATTTCTACTCATTATGTATACAATATGATACTGTATTTCTGCCAAAGTAAAGCAATACATCTATATCTGTGTGTGTGTGTGTGTGTGTGTGTGTGTGTGTTTATACACACAAAAATAAATATAACAATGTGAATAACTGTTATAGCTGGCTCTGTAGATTGGGAAAATGGAATTCACGTCTTTTTTCTTCCCTGCAATACCACAGGATTTTTTTTTAATTAAATATTTTTAAATAAAAAAAAAAATCTCCATTTGAAATAAAACTAAAGATGTTGCAAGTCATTGTAAATCGACAGCCATAGGCTTTGAGAAGGAATGAAGGGAGGACAGAAGAAAACAAGTACCCTGGCCCATAAGATACCCTAGCTTCAGGATTTGGCTGAGTGCTTCATCATTCTATAGTTTAACTTGTTCTTCCCCACCTCCCCTAAACTTTTCTTATAAACTGGGTAGTTGGACGGATGAGGTCTGATGACTCTTTTGGCAAGAATCTTTCATTAACGGTGCCATATACTTAATGCAACATGTTGACACGTAAGAGGAGGAAAAAAGGAAACAGAAGAGGGGCTGTCAAAGAATAACAGAGACCTAAGGGGTATAAGAAGGAAATGCAACGCACATTATTTGGGTCATAACTCAAACAATCCAATGTTAAGGGCAACATTGCCAATATCAGAAAAAATTTGAATATGAATATGCACTGGGTCTTGGATCATATAAAAGAATTATTCATTTTGATACATTTGAAAATGGCCTACTGGTTATGAATTTTTTAAATGACCTTACCAGTTAGAGATGCACAAGAGAATATTTACAAGTTTAAGGACAACAGGCCTTGGATGTGCTATGACAATTCTCCAGAGAAAAACCAGAAGTGGCAGAGGCATGATGAACCTGACTGGCCATGAGTTGATAATTGTGAAAGCTTAGTGATGGGCATGATTTGTAATGTTCTCTCTACTCTGAATCTCCATGAAAAAAAGTTAAAAAGAAAAAAGTCATCAGGGCCTGATGACTTCTACCTAAAGTTTACAGTACAGATGATTCTGGTATTATATACACTCTCACAGATCACAGTAAAGCAGGATCTGTACTAATTGTATGAAGCCAGCACTTTAAAATACTAATCACTATGGGGCGCCTGGGTGGCTCAGTTGGTTGAGCATCTGACTTCAGCTTGGGTCATGATCTCATGGTTCATGGGTTTGGGCCCCATGTTGGGCTCTGTGCTGACAGCTCGGAGCCTGGAGCCTGCTTCAGATTCTGTGTCTTCCCTGCTTACTCTATGTCTCTCTCTCTTTCTCCCTCTCTCTCTCTCTCAAAAATAAATAAATATTAGGGGTGCCTGGGTGGCTCAGTCGATTAAGTGTCCGACCTCGGCTCAGGTCATGAACTCGGGGTTTGTGAGTTTGAGCCCCGCATCAGGGTCTGTGATGACAGCTCGGAGCCTGGAGCCTGCTCCGGATTCTGTGTCTCCCTCTCTCTCTGCCCCTCCCCTGCTCATGCTCTGTCTCTCTCTGTCTCTCAAAAATAAATAATGTTAAAAAAATTTTTTTATAAATAAATATTAAAATAACTAATCACTAGATTTTTTTAGAAAAAGAGAGAACTACATAGATGCTTGCTTATACATTGATTTTCATTCTTCCTTCTTTTTTTAAAATGTTTATTTTATGGGGCGCCTGGGTGGCGCAGTCGGTTGAGCGTCCGACTTCAGCCAGGTCACGATCTCACGGTCCGGGAGTTCGAGCCCCGCGTCAGGCGCTGGGCTGATGGCTCAGAGCCTGGAGCCTGTTTCCGATTCTGTGTCCCTCTCTCTCTGCCCCTCCCCCGTTCATGCTCTGTCTCTCTCTGTCCCAAAAATAAATAAACGTTGAAAAAAAAATTAAAAAAAAAAATGTTTATTTTAAGACAGAGCACAAGCATGAGTAGGGCAGGGAGAGAGAAAGAATCCCAAACAGGCTTGGTGCTAAGAGTGCAGAGTCTGATATGGGGCTTGAACTCACGAACTGTGAGATAACGGCCTAAGCCAAAATCAAGGGTAGGATGTTAACCGAATGAGCCGCCCAGGCGCCCCAAAATGGAGATTTTTCTAGATATCATTTTGGTATTGCTTTCTAAGCTTAATTACACTGTAGTAGAGAAAATCTTCCAAATGATTTCAATCCTTTGAAATTTGTTTAGACTGGCTTTATGGCCTACCACATGCAAACTTTTTATAAATGTTCTATGTGCATCTGAGGAAAATTGTCGGGTGGAGTGTTTTACATCAATCAAGTTTGTTAATCATGTTATTCTTGTTAATCATGTTATTCTAACGGTTCAGGATTAGCACTATCGTAGGCTGGTGACCTGTTTTTGTAAATAATGTTTTTCCAGACCTCGGCCATCCCCATTTGTTTATGTATTTTCTATGGCTACTTTCCTCTTACAATGGCAGAGCTAAGCAGGTGCAGATAGACCATCTGGCCCGCAGAGCCTAAAATATTTACTCTCGCTGCCCTTTACAGAAAGTTTGCTGACCACTGTTAAACTATAGCCTTCTAGCTTTTTCTCTCCTTGTTCTATGTTACTGAGAGAGGTGTGCTGAGAACTCCCATTATCACTGGGCATTTGTCATTTCTCCTTGTATCTAGTACACCCTACATTCAGGAATTCTACTAAGTGTATACCCAGTACAGCTTTTATGCACCAAAAAGTACAAAAATGTTCATGTCAGCACTACTCATAATAGACACAAGTCAGTAACAACCTAAATGTCTGTTAATAGCAGAATGGATACATAATATAATCACACCAAAGAATACTACACAGCAATGAAAAGAAATGAACTACTGCTATATGCAACAATTTAGATGAATTTCACAACAAAATACTGAGCAAAAGAAGGCAGATACAAAAGGACAGGTAACCTATGGTTCCATCTGCATAAAGTTAACAACCAGGCAAATTTAATATAACGTTTTTAGGATAAGAATACCTCTAGAGAAGAAGGGGATTAGGATGAGTTGGCACTCCTAGGTTGTTATAATAGCTTATTTTTTCATTTTTCATTTATACTTGAAAAATGCTTAAAAATTTTTTTTAATTAATTTATTTATTTCTGAGAGAGGGACAGAAAAAGCATGAGCAGGGGAGGGGCAGAGAGAGGGGGCGAGAGAGAATCCCAAGCAGGCTCCACACTGCCAGCGTGGAGCCCAATGCGGGGCTCAGACTCACGAACCGTGAGATCACGACCTGAGCCAAAACCAAGAGCTGGATGCTTAACTGACTAAGCCACCCAGGTGTCCCTCGAAAAATACTTTAAAATAATTTTTTAATGTTTAATTAATTTATTTTTGAGAGAGAGGGAGAGAGAAAGGAGAGAGCAAATAGAGAATCTCAAGCAGGCTCCAGGCCATCAGCACAGAGCCCAACGTGGGGCTGGAACCCACGAACCATGAGATCATGACCTGAGCTGAAATCAAAAGTCAGACACTGGGGCACCTGGGTGACTCAGTCAGTTGAGCCTCCAACTTCAGCTCAGGTCACGATCTCGCAATTCGTGAGTTTGAGCCCTGCATCGGGCTCTGTGCTGACAGATCAGAGCCTGGAGCCTGCTTCAGATTTCTGTGCCTCCCACTCTCTGCCCCTCCCCCCGCTCATGCTGTCTGTCTCTCTCTCAAAAATAAATATTAAAATTAAAAAAAAAAAAAGTAGGATGCTTAACCAACTGGCCCACCTAGGCGCCACTTAATTTTTTTTTAATGTTTATTTATTTGGGGGGGGAGGGGCAGAGAGAGACGGGGACAGAGGATCTGAAGCAGGCTCAGTGCTGACAGCAGTGGGCCCCATGCAGGGCTCCAACCCACGAACTGAAAGATCATGACCTGAGCCGAAATCAAAAGCTGGACTGACTCACCCAGACGCCCCTACTTGAAAAATACTCTTAAAGAAAAGTACAGCTCAGTTTCACTTATAAATGTAGAAGCAAATATTTTTAAATTTTATTATGAAAAATTCCAAATCAAAGAAGAAGAAATAGTATAATTAAACCCCATGCACAAAGAAACAGGAAAGAACAGTATAATCAAATTCCTCACATCCATTGTGTCTTCAATAGTTAGCAACGCAAACCTAATTTTGTGTATCTACACCACCACTCATCTCCCTCTACCACTGGATTATTCTAAAGCAAATCTGAGACATCTTTTTATTTCTAGACGCAAAAATACTAAGTAAAATATTAGCAAATAAAACCCAACCACATATTAAAAGAACAAATCATTATGGAGAAGTATGGTTTCTCCCAGGAATATAAGACACTGGGAAATCTAGCCATCTATAAAGCAAATATTAGAGAGAGGAAAAATATAAATGAAAATAATTTTATAAAGTGATTCGAAGAGCTTTAATATACAGCATAGTGATTACAGTCAACACTGTACCATAGAACTGAAAGCTTTAAGATCTAAGCAAGTAGATCTTAAATGTTTTCACCACGTAAAAGAAATAGTAATTACGGGGGCACCTGGGTGGCTCAGTCGGTTGAGTGTCGGACTTCGGCTCAGGTCATACTCTGTCTCTCTCTGTCTCTCAAAAATGAATAAACGTTAAAAAAAAAATTTTTTTTTAATTTTTTTTTTAACGTTTATTCATTTTTGAGACAGAGACAGAGCATGAACGGGGGAGGGTCAGAGAGAGGGAGACACAGAATCTGAAACAGGCTCCAGGCTCTGAGCTGTCAGCACAGAGCCCGACACGGGGCTCGAACTCACGGACCATGAGATCATGACCTGAGCCGAAGTCGGCCGCTCAACCGACTGAGCCACCCAGGTGCCCCCCCAAAAAAAATTTTTTTAAAGAAATAGTAATTATGTGACATGATGCAGGTGTTAGCTAACCTAAGATAATAATTATTTTGCAATACATAAGTATATTAAATCAACACAGTTGTACACCTTAAACTTACAGAATGTTATATGTCAATTATATCTCACTAAAGGTGGGGGGAAGGATCTTTGAGAATGGTGGGGGGGGATCTTTGAGAAAGAGGAATAAAGCTTGATAAATCATGGCTACCATATTCAGACTAGACTAGGTGCCAGGCACTACACTTTGTATTTAAAGAACATCTGCTAATTTAATTTTCATAATGACTCTACGAACTAGGAATTACGACAGCTTTTTCACAAATGAAGAAACTGACTCAGACATTAACCTACCCAAGTCAAAGGCAGAAGCAGGTTCTTCTTATTCCACAGTCCATACACTTGCCACCTGACCAAAATTATTTGCAGACAACAAAAACAGTCAACTAGAAAATATAAAGGAATTGATTTATAAGCTAGTAGCAGTAACGGTAGTAGACTGAGGTGACAGAATAAGGGTACCTTTTAAAGTTTTGTTCTTGTGCATTATATAAAATGAGAAGAAAGAAAAAAGAGGGAGTGGGGTCATAAGGAGAAAAACCACACCATTTACCATTACAACACCAGTATAAACTATTTTAAATTTTTTAAAATGTTTTATTTATTTTTGAGAAAGAGTACAAGCCTGGGAGGGGCAGAAAGAGAGGGATACACAGAATCGGAAACGGGCTGTCCAGACTCTGAGTTTTCAGCACGGAACCTGATGCGAGGCTGGAACTCGAGAACTGTGAGATCATGACCTCAGCCAAAGTCAGACGCTTAACCAACCGAGCCACCCAGGCAACCCAACAGTATAAACTATTTAGGAATAAACATAACCAGATATGTCTAAGACACATGTGGAAAAATCACCACCACAGCTGGTCAAATCCTTTTTAAACACTTGGGTTAAAGGAAATCCATCAAATGTTCCACAAAGTGGTGGACCTAACCCTCATCAGTTCCACCCAAATTAAAGCACCCACTTGATGGAACATAACTGCAGTAATTAAAAAAAAAGAAAGATGAAAATTTCCAGAGTTAATAATATGGAAATAGCTGATAAAATTATGTCACTACCTACACAAAACGGATCCCAACACTAAAAGCGAAATACACTGTATTTTAACAAGAGTTATTTTCTGGAGTATGTAGGAGTTTGGGCATGTCATTACATGGGCAGGAAATAAAACTGGAAACATGTACTTTCAATAAGAATATACAGTAAACATGGACGCAAGTGGCCAGAAACCCCATCTTTGAAAGTAAGGATGTGAAAAGCATCAACAACGGAACTCCCCAAAGGGGGTCACCGACACGGACACGACTCCCGCTTTCCCCGACCACAGACACCCCACAGCGCTGCTCTCTCCAAGTGCACGTCCCAACACGGAACCCCCACGTGACCCTCCGACACAGAACACCCCAGCGGGAATTCCCACTAGCTTCCCCCAACACCGACCCCCCACGAGCTCCGGGGTTTGAAAAACAAAAAACCAAAAACCAACGAGCTCTCCTTGGCCCCGAAACACTCCCAGAACCGACACTGACCTGGCGATGGCCTCGCTCTTCACCACTGGAGAAAACCACGGTACCACGTCTCTAAACACTTTGCCTCTGTGTCCACAGAACCCCCCGAGTCCCACCTCAGCCTCTCCCAGACCCTCAGAAACGGAAAGGATGGTGACCGACAAGGGTCAGCGCGCGTCGTTCCAGAGACGCGAATTCTGGCGCTAGGTTCGGCCTCTGTGACGTCATATTGCAGCGCCCGCTCCAGGCTACTTGAAGGGAGCCGCCAGTTCTCCACCTATTCCCCTACGGCGGGGGTCATCTCTTTTTCTGTTTTTCGCGGGAAGGCCCAAGACGGTGAGAAGCTATTGAAAACGCTTTATTTCGCTTCATTTCCAGGCCACTTGGCCCCCTGGGCCCCGAATTTACAACTTCCACCAGGGGCAGTGCATAAACTGCTTAGCTTCTCAGAAACTCTGGCCTGCCCAGAATTCTTCTCAGGACGGGCCGAGAAGGTGGCGGACTTTGACACTTTGATTTCAAGGCTAGGGAAAAGCCGGGTGGGCGCAGCCAGCGTAGAAGTTCGACAGGGAGGAAGCCCGAGCCGAAGGGAACAACAGTTGGGAGGGAACCCGGCTAGCATCTTGGGAATGCTGGCTAGAGGGGGCTCTGTGGACAAAGTGGCATTTCAGGCCAGTCTAGGGTGTAGAGAACCGCTGAAAAAGCCGTTGGTCAGAGTAGGTAAACAGAATCATAGAGCTCTTGGTATGATTTGTGTAGGAGAAAATGTGGCTGGTGGTTGTTAGGGGTCAACAGAAGGGGCAGAGCTAATGGAGAATCGTGGCTCTCTCACGGTGGAAGGAGCCAAAGGCTGGGCAAGATTTTCCTACCATAAAGATGGAAAATTCCTTGCATCAAAAGTGCTGACGCGAGGGGGAGGGGGGGGGCGCCCGCGGGCGCGCCCGCCTGGGTGGCTCAGTCGGCCAAGCATCCGACTTCGGCTCAGGTCATGACCTCACGGTTCCTGAGTTCCAGTCCCGCGTTGGGCTCTGTGCTAACAACTCAGAGCCTGGAGCCTGCTTCCATTCTGTGTTTCCCTCTCTCTCTGCCCCTCCTCCACTCACACTCTGTCTGTCTGTCTCTCTCTCAAAAATAAATTAGAAAAAAAATTTTTAAAACATTAAAAAAAAGTGCTGAGGGGGCCTCTCTGGCTCAGGTGGTGGAGCATGTGACTCTTGATCTTGGGGGTAGATTGTATTTAAAATTAAAAACTTAGGGGCTCCTGGGTGGCGCAGTCGGTTAAGCGTCCGACTTCAGCCAGGTCACGATCTCGCAGTCCGTGAGCTCGAGCCCCGCGTCAGGCTCTGGGCTGATGGCTCAGAGCCTGGAGCCTGTTTCCGATTCTGTGTCTCCCTCTCTCTCTGCCCCTCCCCCGTTCATGCTCTGTCTCTCTCTGTCCCAAAAATAAATAAACGTTGAAAAAAATAAAAATAAATAAATAAATAAATAAAAGTAAAATTAAAAAATAACTAAAAAAAAAAAAAAAAAAACTCTAAGAAAGGGAAGTGGTTGTATTCAATATTTCAGCCCAAATGATTAAACTGAGGAGCTCCCAGTGCAAAACTCATTCCCCATAGTTACACAACCACCATTAGAGCACCTCCCCATTAAAGGGATTGATGATTCATTCACTCAGCAGATGCTTATAAAATGTGGCACTGTTCTGCGTGCTGGGGATACAAAAGCTATAAGTGCAGACATACCCTTTGCACATAAGTGCAAAAATACCCTTCGTGGAGCTTAACGTTTTACTGACATGCAGAATGTAAAATTGATGGTTTGAATGTAAAGTTCCAAGACTGTTATGAGTCCTACCTACAATGCCTACCAGCCAGAGCATAACCAAAGATAAATTATGAAAGATCATTTTTTTTTTTAAGCCTGTATTATTAGCTTCCATGCTTTAAGGAAAAAAAATTTTTAGAGAGTGAGAGAGCCGGGGGACAGGCAGAGCGAGAGAATCTTAAGCAGTCTCCATGCTCAGCACACCGCCAGGCTTGGGGCTCCATCCCACAACCCCAGGATCATGACCTGAGCCAAAATCAAGAGTTGGACCCACCGAGAGGTGCCTGGGTGGCTCAGTTGGTTAAGTGTCAGACTTCGGCTCAGGTCATGCTCTCGTGATCCATGAAGTACAGCCCCGCATCAGGCTTTGCACCGACACCTCAGAGCCTGGAACCTGCTTCAGATCATGTGTCTCCCTTTCTCTCTGCTTCTCTCAAAAATAAATAAACATTTAAAAAAAAAAAAGAGTTGGATGCACTGACTGAGCCAACCAGGCATTCCAAAGATGATCATTCTTAAGATCTAATGGGATATGCTTTGCTAGGTTTTGGATTTGCTTGGGACTCATCACCCCCTTTCTTCTAATTTCTCTCTCTCGGAATGGGAATGTATCCTACCCCTGTCCCACCATTTTTTTTGGAAGTGAATCACCTCTCTAATTTTAGTTCACAGCTGGAGAGGAATTTTGCCTCAGGGTAAATTGTACCAGAAGTCTCACCTATATCTGATTTAGATGAGACTTAGATTATATAGACTTTAGAGTTGATGCTGGAATGAGTTAGACTTTGAGGGTTGTTGGGATGGAATGTGTTTTGCATGCAAAAAAGTCATGAATTGGGGGGTGGTTAGGGGTGGAATATTATGGACTGAATGTTGGTGTCCTCTTAGATTCACGGGTAGAAACCCTAACACCCAGTGTGGCCATATTAGGGGATGGGACCTCTAATGAAGTCATTAAAGTTAAATGAGGTCAAAGGGTAGGGCTCTGATCTTAGTAGTTTGGTGTCCTTAGTACAAGAGACACCAGAGTGCTCTTTGTCTGTGCAGACAAACTGAGGAAATGCCTTGCAAGGACATGGGGAGATGGCAGCTAGAGTCCTGACCAGAAACCAAATCTGCTGGAAACTGGATTGTGAACTTCTAGCCTCAGGAACTGTAAGAAAATGAATTTCTGTTGTTTCAAACACCCACTCTGTGTTATTTTGTTATGACAGCCAAAGCAGTCTAATACAGTGGTGAGGGGTGCCTGGATGGCTCAGTCGGCTAAGCATCTGACTTAGGTGCAGGTCATGATCTCACAGTTAATGAGTTTGAGTCCCACGTTAGGTGAGCTTGAGCCCCATTTTGGGTGAGCCCCGCTTCTCTCTCTCTTCCTCTCTTTCTCTCTGCCCCTTGTGGGATTCTCTCACTCCGCCCTTGCTCACTTGCGTCCTCTCTCAATTAAAAAAAAAAAAAAAGAAAATTAAACGAACTAACTTAATTTGAATCCCTTGGATAAACACAATGTAATTATGAAGTATTTATTTTTTTATATATATTGCTTATATAAAGAGAATCCTGGGAAACATTTGTGGGATTATGGTAAAAAGGAATAAAAATTTGGATCAGGCAAACTTAACAATACGGGCTGACCATGAATGGATTCTGGCTTTAATGTGTAAGCTCAGTTAGAATGGCTTTAGTTTGCTTTGTTGGTTGAATGTAACCTGACTCAAAGGTGGCCTAAAGTTTAAATGCCAGAAATTTCTTCATATTTTGTAAAGATTCTGAAAGTATATGGAGTTAGAAATGCTAATGTGTAATTATGTAAAGCCAGTTTATCCATCCCCTAAAAATATATCCTAGGGTTAAAAAAAAAAAAAAAAAAAGTGTCCCAGGAGCATCCAGAAGATAATCTCCTCAACGAAGCTGATCTGGCTGCAGAAAACTGAAGTATACTATTACAAGATTCTAGTACTACATGTGAAAAGTATGATAACTTGAAGATACACTGTTAAGTGAATGATACATTCTGTAAGCTCTAAAGGAACCACTGAAATAACAAAGTTACACCTAATGAGCCAACAAAGGATATAAATAATCATAAAACATAGCTACTCCAAAAGAAGGTAGAAAAAGACAAAAAGAGCAAAACCAGATAGAATAAATAACAAATTCCACATCATTTGAACATAACCACATTAATCATGAATGGCCTAAATACCCCAATAAAAAGAGATTGTCAACTAGATTAAAAAACAAAACAAACAAAAACCTAGGTCTAACTATATGCTGCCTACTTTTTAAAAAAATACTTATTTTTGAGAGAGAGAGAGGGAGAGAATCCCAAGCACACTCTGCACTAGAGCCCAGTGTAGGGCTCGAACTCACAAACCATGGTAACATGACCTGAACCAAAATCAAGAGTCAGATACTTAACTGAACTACTACTCACTTTAAATACTGAAAACTCACTTTAAATACTGTCACAATTAGGTTAAAAGTAAACCATGTTGGGATGCCTGGCTGGCTCAGTCGGTGGAGTATGCGACTTGATTTCAGGGTTGTGATTTGTAGACTACTTAAATAAAAACTTAAAAAAAAAGTAAACCATGTTTTGTTTTTGTTTTTTGATTCTTATTTATTTATTTTGAGAGAAAGAGAGAGACACACACAGCATCTGAAGGAGGCTCCAAGCTCCGAGTTGTCAGCACAGAGCCTAGTGTAGGGCTTGAACCCATGAACCCCAAGATCATGACATGAGTTGAAGTCAGACACTCAACTGACTGAGCCACCCAGACCCAAAAAATAAACCATATTAAATAGAGCTATGAATGATCTAAAAAGAAAGGCCCAATTCAAATTTCTAGAAATAAGACATACTCTTGATGGGATTGATGGCAGAGTAAACATTGTTTCTTTTTAGTGTTTATTCATGTTTGGGAGAAAGAGGGAGACAGAGTGTGAGTGAGGGGTGGGGGCAGAGAGAGAGAGACACAGAATCCAAAGCAGGCTCTAGGCCCTTGAGCTGTCAGCACAGAGCCTCATGTGGGGCTTAAACCCATGGACCACAAGATCATGACCTGAGCTGAAGTTGGAAGCTTAAAGGACTTATCCACCCAGGTGTCCCTAGCAGAGTAGATAGACATTGTGTAAGAAAAAATTAGTGAACTGAAAAGACACAGCAATACAAACTATCCAAAATGAAAAACAGGTGGGGGGGGGGGGTAGTCTAAAAACTAGGAGCAGTTTACCCTATTCGTGTATGCAAAACATCAGTGAACTTTATGGCAAGGCAAAAGAAAGTACAAATTTAAGCATAATGAGAACAAAAGATTTTATTAAAAAGTGAAAAACTGTTCAGAGAACCTGAACTTAAAAAAAAAAAGGCGGCCTTATGTTCTTGGCCAAGTGGCAAAAGAGGTATTGTGAGGAATGCCTAGGGGAAACTGCTAACTGCCCTTCACTCTCTGATCAAGATAGTGAACAAACAACAGTATTCTGGGAAGGTTTATAAAATATGAAGTAAAATGTATTACATATCTTATCAACCCAAGACATTGTTGTTATTAACATGTTAATCATTCCTCTCTTTGATATAATGGAATACAGCTATAACTGTTGATACAATGTCCTTGTTCCCTCAATCTAGCATTGATATCAGTTCTAGGTCACTTTTGATTGGTCTTTCAACACTGGTCACATTTTCCTGCCTGATAAGTTTGTCAACTTTATTATGGGATTATGGGGGAGTAGGTACAACAGGGGAGATCAGGATATTTTTGCACTCTATTTATTTATTTAGTTAATTTATTGAGAGAGAGGAGAGTGGGGGTGGAGGGGCAGAGAGAGAGGGGCCAGAGAGAGAGAATCCCAAGCAGGCTCTGCACTGTCAGTGCAGGGCCCAGCATGGGACTCGAACCCACAAACTGTGAGATCATGACCTGAGCCAAAACCGAGTTGGATGCTAACCGACTGAGCCACCCAGACGCCTCTCTTACAAATATTCTTGAAGCGCCCCTCTTACAAAGAATTGTTTTGGGATACATTGAGGTTACTTGAAAAGTTTGGTCCTTTCTGGCCCTGTTTTATTATTTGGTTAGTTAATTTCTTCCTGGCCCTGCTTTAAATCTCAGTTAAGCAAGACAAGATTGCTTATTGGATGGGATTCAGTCAACTAACCATGTGTATCAAGTGCCTACCCTATATCACATATTCTTCTAGACATCTTGTATACAGGGGTTATCAGAAGTTCCCTACCCTCATGAAGCTTATAGTCTTTTACAGTGTATAACTTACATTCAAGACCTTACACTTGCTCATAAAGTTGATATCGCAATATGGTTTGTATTAAAATTGGTAACGTTTATATGTATATACGTCTTTATATTCCATATCAAAATCTCGAAGAAAACAAGTGAAATGTTCTCTCCAAGTGATTCTAGTGGTGTTTATGTCACTGATTTACAAAAAAATCAACTGCCTAAATGCCACTCAACTATCTCGTCTGACAGACCTCTACCTTTAGTTTCTCCCTGACACCTGACCTCATGCCCTTTTCAGATCAGTTTTTCACCAGTAGACGTGGTCTGAACTTCTTCCTGTATTGTTTATGCCAGCCCCTGTGATTACCCCTGACTACATTTAACTAATTATACATATCAGATTCCAAAAATACTTTCCAGGCTGGTTACAGGCCTTCAGTATTTCCAGCACTAGATTCACCCTACTCTTCCAGAAACCCAATGCCTACTCTAGGTCTAAATCCAAGTCTCTCTGGCTTTGTGGAGCATGAGATACCAGTCCAAGGCTGATTCTATGAAGATCTACTTTTGTCTTCCTCGTGTTTGTAGGACTCAGAGTCCCTCTGAGTTGAGAGAAAATGGGAATAGATACCAGGAAGAATGTTGGGGTGGTTCCATCAATGAAGCAAAAGTTAGGGTTAGACAGGGTACTGCCTCCAAGGGGAGGCAACTGGATAGTTATCCAGGCATTTAGAACTTCAGATTCCCAGCATTCTGAGAATTCAATAATCAGGGAAGGGACAGGGAGAGCTAGGATGGAAGTAATCCTTTTAATTTGTGTTCAAATTGCCTACCTTACTTTCTCATGTTTTCGAAAATGACTACTGAGAGCTTTGTTGGAATGTATTTTGTTATTTAATGTGTAGGTTTAAATTACTAATTGTACTTGGGCTTTTAGTTCATTTTGCAAACCTGGTTTCTCTATCTTTTCAGGTCTAGAAAATTTTAAAAATCACTTTTATGGTGACATTGTGTAATGCTTGCTCTTATTTTTAAATTGAACTTAAACTCATCAAAGGACATTAAATTATATTCATGAGTTTAAAATATTCATTTCTTTTTGAAGGACTTCAGTTGCCTGAAATAAAATCTAAAGCCAAAGAAATCCAACAGGGTAAACATTATATGATACTGAGGAATTTTAGAATTGAAGAACATTTTAGAAAAAGAAAAAGAGGTGCACCTGAGGTTACTTGGAAAGTTTGGTCCTTTCTGGCCCTGTTTTATTATTTACTTAATTTCTTCCTGGCCCTGTTTTAATTCTGAATGGCTCAGTTGGTTGAGCTTCCAACTCTTGATTTCAGTGGAGGTCACGATCCCAGGGTCATGCTTGAGTCTCTCTCTCCCTCTGCCCCTATCCCCAGCTCACATGCGTACACTCTCTCTCTCTAAAACAAAATTAAAAAAAAAAAGAATCCACAAACGGGAAAAGTGAATATAGTGTGATAATGTTAGCCAGTGATGTAGGGCAGAAACTATCTCCTCTAAATTATGGAATCACTAACATGGTAATTAGGAATGTGGTTCAAGGTACCCTGTCTGAAAATGTACATCAGGTGTATTACATGATATATAGGTCACATTAGAAAAGGTACATAAAACTCTCAAATGTTCCTCATCTTCACAAACCTTTGTTTCACAAGAACTTTAGTATTTCGTTAAAGGAATTCCACAATTAGTGGATTAACAGAGTTTTATTTCTCTGTGATTTTACCTGCTAATGCATGAGGCAGAATGTACCACTGAAATCCCAGCCATGTTCACTGCCTTTTTTTTTTTTTTAATGTTTATTTTTGAGAGAGAGACAGAGCTGAGCGGGGGAGGGGCAGAGAGAGAGGGAGACACAGAATCTGAAGCAGGCTCCAGGCTCTGAGCTGTCAGCACAGAGCCCGACACGGGGCTTGAGCTCACGAACCGTGAGATCATGACCTGAGCCACCTAGGTGCCCCACGTTCATTGCCTCCTGTTTCTCCTCAGTGTGAACTGACACATATTAAGGGTAGGGACTTTCCCACTATTGCCATGTCTCTACTCACTATAAGCTCCCTGATGAGCTATGTTGATCACTGATGACAGACAGAGTCGGTCTTCTAAAACTAGCCTCTGCACTCATGGGTTTTGTTTGTGTATAACCATATTATCAGCAAGACATTATTGCTCAAGGCTTTTCCTAATTGAATGTACCAGGTTTTTTCTATGTGTTTTTCGTGACATAAAATAAGATGTAATTGACCACTGAAGGCACAACCACATTCGCTGCATTCATAAGGTTTCTCTCCTGTACAAATTCTCCGTTATTTCCTGAGGGTGCACATCTGGCAGCTGGCTGTCCCACTAGGACCGCATTCCTATCTGCGAGGAGCCCACTGATGTTTAATGAGGTCTGAGGGATCGTGGAAGGCATCTGTGCAGTCACTGTATTAACAGGGCTTTTCCCCTGCATGAATTCACTAGTATCTAATAAGCTGTGACCCTCTGTGGAAGAATATTCAACCTTCACTGAATCTACATGTTTCTCTCTTGTGTGTATCCTCTTATGTTTAACAAGGCATGACATGTGGGAGAAAGCTTTCCCACATTCATTGCATCCATAGGGTCTCTCTCCTGTATGAGTTCTTTGATGGACAGTGAGCATTGTCTTTGTAGTGAAGGCTTTCCCACAGTCACTGCACTTATAGGGTTTCTCTCCTGTGTGAATTCTCTGATGTTTAATGAGTCCTGATTTCTGTGAACAAGATTTTCCACATTCAGTACATACGAAGGGAGTCTTTCCTGTATGAAATCGCTGATGTGCTATCAGGCACGCCTTCTGGCTGAAGGCCTTACCACATTCAATGCATCCATAGGGTTTCTCTCCAGTATGAGTTCGTTGATGTATAAGGAGATTGCCCTTCTGAATGAAACCTTTTCCACATTCACTGCATATATAAGATTTCTCTCCTGTATGAGTTTTCTGATGTAGAATGAGTTGTGATTTTCTGGCGAAACCTTTTCCACATTCACTGCACTGATGGGGCCTTTCTCCTCTTTCATTTCTCTGATGTATAATGAGTTCTGCCTTCCTGCAGAAGGCTTTGCCACATTCAGTACATCCATAAGGTTTCTCTCCTGTGTGAGTTCTCTGGTGTTCAGTCAGCTTGAACTTTCTGGAGAATGCTTTCCCACATATACCGCAGCCATGGGGTTTATTTCCTGTATGAGTCTTCTGATGTTCAGTAAGCTGAAATTTCCTGAGGAAGGCTTTCCCACACTCACAGCACTCATAGGGTTTCTCGCCTTTGTGAATTCGCTGATGTTCAGTGAGCTTGAACTTCTTGGAGAAGGTTCTCCCACATACACTACACCCATGGGGTTTTTTTCCTGTATGAATTCTCTTATGTTCTGTGAGCCGAGACTTCTTGAGGAAGGCTTTCCCACATTCAGGACATTCGTGGGCCGTCTCTATTTTGGGTATTTGCTGATGTTTAAGGAATTGTGATGTAGTGCTGGTGGGTCTTCTACTTTCATGGAATTGAATTTCAGTGTGAGTTTGCTTGTGATTAGCACTGAGAAAGGATCGTCCGTCTCCACCAGACTCAGCAGGCTCTTTGTCACAGCTTCTACTTCTGTTGATTAAGTGTGGCTTCAAAGTTTTTCCATGTAAATGAAACCTATCATGATTTGGCCTGAAAGGAAAATGACTTTTGCTCTGATGAACAGTCTTTCCACATGTGTTCAGTTCATAACACTGTTCCATCCTCTTCGGCATTTTGAGATTTTCTAAGTGCTGAGGCAGATGATCGTCAACTCTCTCAATTTCTAGGAAAGAAGACAACGGTGAATCTTTCCATGACCATCATATGGAATAAAACTGCTTCAAAAGTACTGTGGGGTGGGCTGGCTCTTTAGTGGAAAACTTTTAGTATCAACATAAAAGAAATTCCAAGCATATCCTTGTATACATATTCCTTATCTCTTTTTAAAAAAAGCTCTTAAAATTGTAGCTAAATACACATAAGGTAAAATTTGCCATTTTAACCATTTTTAAGTGTACAGTTTTGTGTCATTAAGTGGTGCAGCCACCACCATCATCCATCTCTAGAACATTTCTATCTTCCCCACCTAAAAAAATTCTGTACTCATGAAACACTAACTTACCTGTTAGAAATGTTTAAAAACACAGTAATACAAATACAACAAACCAAAAGATGACAGTTGTCAGTGTCATATAGGGTAAATTCACAACAGATCAAGAATTATCTGCTTTGTAAATAAGGCCCTGGAGACAGTAAAATACAAGGAAGTCACTAGCAGCATCAGATCACAGAGGCTGGAGGGATACCTGATTCAAAATGGTAAGAGACAAAATCCACTCATTCAATACATCCTTCTTAAGTGGCTACTACCATATACCAGGTATCATGTTAGTGTTGGAGAAATAAAAAAATACTCTTTATTTTCACTGAACTCCTACTCTAAGGATGGAAAGAGAAACAGAATAAACACGCAAGAAAAAGAAGAAAGTAGGCAATTGCAAATGTGACCCTAGTTGGAGGAAGCAAAGGGAATGAAAAGTGGAAGAAATCTGGATGTGTTTTGAAGAATGGATAAGACCCATTACTGGATTTATCTGGGGATAAGTAACAGGAGGAAATCAAAGCGTGCTCCTAAGGATTTGGCTTGAGCTAATGGGTAAGTGGGTGATGCCTTTTAATAAGATGAAGATGTTGTTCAAGTTCAAATAGGATGAGAACAAGTGCATTTTGAAATTTTTTTTTCAATGTTTTTTATTTATTTTGGGGACAGAGAGAGACAGAGCATGAACGGGGGAGGGGCAGAGAGAGAGGGAGACACAGAATCGGAAACAGGCTCCAGGCTCCGAGCCATCAGCCCAGAGCCTGACGCGGGGCTCGAACTCACGGACCGCGAGATCGTGACCTGGCTGAAGTTGGACGCTTAACCGACTGCGCCACCCAGGCGCCCCAGAACAAGTGCATTTTGAAGCACATCACCTTTGAGGTAATTATTAGATATCCAAGTACAGACATGGAAAACCCAGTCAGATATATATGAAACTTGAGAGAGGTCTTAAATGGAGATATGTGGAAATCATCAGAACGTAAAGATCACTAAGGTCAGAGTGTTAAACGGGATCACATTTCAGAAGGTCAAGACTGAAAGCAGATGAAGGCACAAGACTATGACCTTAGTCATTTCAACATACAGAGCTTTGGGACTCTGAGAGACCGCTGAAGAGACCCAAGCATCAACCACACTGATAGAGAAATAAGCGGACCCAGTGTTAGAACAAATATCCCAGAGACAAGTCGGAATGTTGGATGCATAGAATCTGATTTCAAAAAAATTCTAACAGACTCCGGGTGCTCCCCTTGTTGCTAAAACATGTCATTCTTGTTCATTATGTAGACCATCATCAAATGAACTTTCCCAAACACTCTAACCTTTCTTCTAGGTGTGACACATTCTCATATGTTCCCACAGAAAGAGGGACATGATCATCCTTACAGACTTTTACAACATGCACAGTCTTCTCTACAAGCAGATCTGCTGCACCAGATGTGGGAACTGTCACCTTCTTCATCATACTGTACCTACATGGAGATCATACTGGAGTTTCTCCCATTTCACTGTCCCTGACAGACTAATCTCTCGTCTTGCCACTAACAGCTTCTTCCTTAATTCTACACTCTTTATGTTATCAGCAAGACTTCTGGTCAACAGTAGACTATTAATAGTTAGGTTATGGGGTATCATTTAAGGGGTCCTAATGGACCACCTTCCTCCTGAATCAAGACTCTGGCAGGTTTGCCTTTAGTTTTACTTAGAACATCTGGCTACACCTTACTATTGCTACAGTGCCTACCTACAGAAATTTAGAAAACCTAATCTCTACCATGCCCTGTTTATTGCTAACATGGAAAAATCACAAAAGTAGCCTGGTGATAAACCTTTACATTAACATAATGTGCCCAGTTTACCCAATTTTCCACTCACTAGTCTCCAACAAATACCTTCTGACCTTGATCTTCATGTGGCTGGTTTTAGGCCAATCTTTTGACAGTTCCCATATGGCTATGCATATTTCCAATTTTTTGGCATGTTTCTTCATCATCTTCTTCAAAGCCTAGCTATATCTCTTGCAACGTAAGGTACTTTGTGATACTATCATTCTCCATTCCTTCTATACCACTTTAGGTTACTTTTCTTCTAAACTTCTAAAACACAGTTGACTGTTAAACAACATGGGAGGTTAGGGGTGCCAAGCCCCCCTTCCTTGTGGTTGAAAATACACATTAACTTTTGACTTACCCAAAACCTAACTATTAATAGTCTACTGTTGACCAGAAGCCTTGCTGATAACATAAAGACATTAACACATATTTTGTCTGTTATATGTGTTATATACTGCATTCTTATTTAAAAAAAAAAAAAGTAGAGAAAAATGTGCTATTTAAAAAATCATAAGTTAGGGGCGCCTGGGTGGCTCAGTTGGTTGGGTGACTGACTTCGGTTCAGGTCATGATCTCACAGTTTGTGAGTTCGAGCCTCGTGTCGGGCTCTGTGCTGACGGCTCAGAGCCTGGAGCCTATTTCAGATTCTGTGTCTCCCCCTCTCTCTACCCTTCCCCTGCTCATGCTCTGTGTCTGTCTCTCAATAATAAATAAATGTTAAAAAAAATTTTTTTTTTAAATCATAAATTGGGGCGCCTGGGTGGCGCAGTTGGTTAAGCGTCCGACTTCAACCAGGTCACGATCTCGCGGTCCGTGAGTTCGAGCCCCGCGTCAGGCTCTGGGCTGATGGTTCAGAGCCTGGAGCCTGTTTCCGATTCTGTGTCTCCCTCTCTCTCTGCCCCTCCCCCGTTCATGCTCTGTCTCTCTCTATCCCAAAAATGTTGAAAAAAAAATTTTTTTTTTTAAAAATCATAAATTACATTTACAGAACTGTATTGGAAAAAAAATTGTGTATAAGTGGACCTGTGCCTTTTAAACCTGTGTTGCTCAAGGGTCAACTGTAGTCCCTATGTTTATTATTTGCTTGAATTTTGTAGAGCCTTGAATTATAGCAAAAACATCTCACACAATCAAAAGCTTCATTTCTAAATATTACATGAAGATCTGTCCAATCTTTGCTTATCAAATCTTTGGTGTAGAGAAACACTTAACTTTGTTTCCCACTAATTTCAATCTCTTTTACTGTGTGTTAGGACTGTAGTTCATCAGATTGGGTCACAATAGCACCCTTGGGGGGCTCTGCATAAAGACATATGCGGGCCCTGAACCCTATTCTAATAAAACCCAACTCTCTGAGGAAGCAGCGTTGGTAAGATTATAATGAAAACTCCTTCAGTACCAATCTGGCATTTAAGAAATCCTTGATATACAGATGGAAAAGTGTGGGTCTCTCTCCAACCTGGCTACAATAGTTATTTGATGAAGACATAAATGGATGACCAAGATTCATTTTCTTCTTGTACAAGGAGGAATGAAAAGCAAGCCCTTGACACAAGAATAGTAAAGAAGCCTCCGGTACCACCAAATCATAGAGATATAGTATCTTTAGGAGTGGCTGGTTAACTGGGGCCAAAGTACAATTCAGAGAAGGAAGATAATACTATATTTTTGTTTAGCAATAAACCATCTCATGGGAAGAATTCAAAGTGAAAATATATATTATTTGAGTGGGAAGAACAAACAAAAAATGACCTACTTCTCCCTGAGTTCTTACCTTACTTGATGCATTGTCAACTCTCTAGAAAATGTTTGACTTTGTCTTTCACAAAACACTTGCTCATCATGCACTCTCTACCATGTTTGTTATACACTCATCTGTTGATCTCTGACTGTCCAAGGCTCTTGTTTTCTTTATCTGGATCCACTCCCCAGGAGATCTCATCTGGTCCAAATTTCTTTCTCTGCACCTCACCTCTCCCTGACCTTTCCAGGTACATCAAACTGCAACAGAGAGCCCCACTTAGATGCTAACAAGCACATCTAACTTACAATCTCCGTTATAGAACTCTTTGACTTCCCAGCCCAAATCTCCTCCTCCCACATATCTTCTCTATCACAGTAAATGACAGAAGAGTCACTCTTCTGGTGACTCATGCTAAAAATTCATAGCATCATCATTCATCTGTCTCCTTTTCTCACCCCATGTTGTGGGTTGAACTTGTTCCCCAAGGAGATACAGTCAATTGCTAACCCCCTGGTACCTGTGAATGTGACCTTTTTTGGAAATAGTCTTTGCATATATAAACAAGTTAAGATGAGCTCACTTTGGATTAGGGTGTGACTGGCATCTTTATAAGGAAAAGGAGATTTGGGACACAGATACAGAAAATATACACGGAAATGGCCATAGGATGACAGAAGCAAAGACTGGAAAGGTGTTCCTACAAGTCAAGGAAGGCCAAGAATTTCCAACAACCACCAAAAGCTAGAAAGAGGCAAGAAAAGATTCCCATTTCGACTCTGGAGGGAACAAAGCCTGCAACACCTTGATTTCCAACTTTTAGCATCTAGAACTAGAAGGTAAATTTCTGTTGTTTTATGCCACCTAACTTACAGTTCTCTGTTAAGCAGCCCTAGGAAACTAAGATACCTGATATCTATTTTGATGGCAAATTCAGTCTTTATATATATATATATCTCCAGAATCTTCTATTACTCACATCTCAAGCCTAGGGAAGCCCACCAATGACCAGGTCTCCTATCTGGCTTTCTGCTTCAACTTCTGCCCTATTCCAGTCTACCCATAGTCAAAGTGACACTTCCAAAATATAAATTATATCTGTCACTGCTATACTATAAACTTTGTTTCTCAATTTACTAGGAGTAAAATCAAGTCCTCAGAATGGACTACAAGGCCCTCCATGACCAACCAACCTATCACCACTACTCCATTGACTTCATCTCCAGGAATTTTCCCTCTTGCTCACTCTGCAGCATCCACACAGGCTTCTTTGATGTTCCTCAGACACATTCTTGCCTCTGGCTCTGCACTTCCCATTCTCTTCATTTTTCACCCAGGAAACCTACTCCCAGTCATTCATCCTCTGCTCACAGGCGTCTTGTAGTCCACAGACATTCCTATTTGTAGAAGGGCAGACCCCATCCCTTCCACCCACTGTTCCGTGATGCCAACGGATTGGTGTTCACAGCCCTTTTCACCACTAGACATAGTTTCTATGTACTTTTCCCACTTCTTAAATTGTGATAAAATCCACAACACAAAATTTATCATCTTAATCACTCTGAGTTTACAGTTTAGTGGTATCAAATATATTCATAATGTCATGCAACCATCATCACTATCCATCTTCATAACTCTTTTCATCTAATAAAATTGAAACTCTGCATGTTTACTTTTGTTATATTTATGCCTCCCCCTTTCTGAGAGTAGAGACTTTAGGTCTTTGAAAGAAATAAAATTTCTGTGTCATGGATGATAATAGGGTCAACTGCAACTTACTGTCATCAATCTATGGGGAGACAAGGGAAAGCTTTAGGGACAATAATCCATTAACAAAATCTAAGTTAAATTAAGAAAGAGTAGAATTAACAAATATACAAAGGAATTACAGTAAAGCAGACAGGAGGCTTTATTTAGGCTAGGAACTGAGAAGAAGAAATTGTATCCTAATTAAAGAAGAGGAACAGTAGACACCTTAAATACCCTAGAGAGTAGAGAAGGTTCAAGGTAATCACAGCATGGCCAGGATTTAAGATGTACAGAAGTACAAGAGAATTTCAAATAAAAAAAAATTTTTTTTTAATGTTTCTTTAAACATTATCATTGTCTTTTTAAAAACTGAAATTCTCTTGGGGCACACCTAGGTGGCTCAGCCGGTTAAGCCTCGCACTTCGGCTCAGATCATGATCTCACAGTTCGAGGCCTGTGTCAGGCTCTGTGCTGACAGCTCAGAGCCTGGAGCCTGCTTTGGATTCTGTGTTTCCCTCTCTCTCTGCCCCTCCCCCACTGGCGCTCCGTCTCTCTCTCTCCCTCCCTCAAAAATAAAAAATAAACATAAAAAATTGTTTTCAAAAATAAAATAAAAAGACAATGAAACTGTAAAATAATGTAATGTCAATTATACCTCAACAAAACCCTAGCAAATATTAAAAATAAATTTTTAATGAAAAAGATGATGGAAAAAGGTTTTCTTAGAGGGAAGATCATTCTAGTTTCTCACATAAGTGTGAACTCTAGGGAGTTGCCATGGAAAGAGGTAAGCTACAGCTGACCCTTGAACAACACAGGAGTTGGGGTACCGACCCTCTGGGGCAGTCGAAAATATAGATGCAACTTTGACTCCCCCAAAACACAACTAGTAATAGCCTATTGTTGATTGAAAGCCTTACTACCAACAGCCAGTTAGCACATATTTTGTATATGTATTATATACTGTATTCTTACAATAAAGTGAGCAGAGGAAAGAAAATGTTAAGGAAATCATAGAAGAGACAGTATATTTATAGTACTATACTGTATGGAAAAGAATCCGTGCATAAGTGGAGCCAGGCAATTCAAACCCATGTTGTTCAACAGTTAACTGTATATAGATTAGACAATATTAAAGGAGATCTCAACTTGGGAATCTCCACAAAGAACAGGAACTTAACATTTTTTAATAAAGTAAGGTTTTAAGGCCTTTGAGACAGAGCAGAGAATAAAAAGAGAACCTTTGAGTAACCCCAGAGTGGGGAAAGAGAGAAGCAGATAAGTGCATAAGAAGAGACCAGGTTGGGGTGCCTGGGTGGCTCAGTCAGTTATGTGTCTGATTCCTGATTTTGGCTCACATCATGATCTCATGGTCCTGAGATCAAGCCCTGCATTGAGCTCTGCACTGGGCGTGGAGCCTGCTTGAAATTCTCTGTTTCTGTCTCTTTCTGCCCCTCCTCCATGCGTGCACTCCCTCAAAAAAAGAAGCAGCTTTAAAAAAGAGAGAGATGAGGTTACCGTGGAAGCAAAGCATCCAAGCGGGGGTGGGGGGGGGCGGGTTGGATGTCATGAAGGGAAATAAGTATTTCCCAACGGGGCAGGAAGGTGTATTAGAAGACAACAATGAATTCAAAGTTTTCTCTTAGCAAGACATGGAAGGAAGAATTTCATAAAGAGAGGTGAGAGGGACTCTGACAAGTGATGAAGTGGGAAGATGTGCAAATCTAAGCAAGAATAGTCCTAGGGTAAAAAATGTTGACATCTAAGAAAAAATAGATAGGGATTAGTTCCACGAAGAGATCAAGCAGTATGTTTTCCTCTAAATTCGTACAGCGAGAAAGAGTTCTCATCTGAGGAGAAAGATACACAGAAGTTCCAGTTCTGTAGCCCCAGACACCCTCACCACTATGATGCCTTCCTGAAATGACAAGAAAGTGATTTCCACAGCCTTCCCCTCCCCTCTCCCCCTCCCCCACTGCTGGTTTTCTCTCACCTGGATGGGTTTGACTTTGGACTTCATCTTTGAAAATCCATGGTGGTTCTTCTTGTTCCAATTCAGAGAGTGAATCTGGTTGGCAAGCTTGATACCCTGTATATGGGAAATGACAGAAGACTTATTAGGCTCATCAAACTGCCCTGGGCTCTGCAATGGTATGAGGGCGATACATGTTAGGGACTGCACAATTTGCATGTCGCAAATCAAAGGCTTTTCTCTGAGACAAGGAGAGCTTCTACCTTCACATCAGGGGCCAGGGAAGGGACTGAAAACCTACACTTCAGCACAGACACGCCACAGCCCTCAGAAGCTGACAGAGGAAAGGCCTCCGAGTGACAGGGAAGCTGTCCTCACCCAGTGACACCAGGTTCCTGTAGTTCTCCAGCATCACATTCCAGTACAGGTCCTTCTGGGCGGGGGCCAGGAGCTGCCACTCCTCCCACGTGAAGTCCACGGCCACATCCTCCAGTGTCAGCGATTCCTGTAACAAAACGGTCCTCTTTGGAAGTATTTCCCTTTTATTGAAATGGAGGGTGCGAGGTAATAGAAAATATATATATTGGGCTCTGTCCCTGGTTCCTGGCAGAGCTCCTAAAACCCCTATAATTTCCTAGGTGATAAGGGCCCTGGGAGCATCTTTTATTTTCTAATTGGTCTTTAACTCCAATTTCTCACAGGGTTCCTGAAACCGTTGTAAATTCCTAAGTGTTAAGAACAGTATGAATGTCTTTGTTCTGATGGGGCAACTGGCTGGGCTCCTGGATGCTGCTGGTCACCAGAAAGACCAAGCTATGATTAGAAGCTTGGAACTTTCAGACCAGTTAACTTTCCTTAATTCTCATATCTCTTGAGATATGATATCTGTTCTCTTGAGAACGGAGAGGGGCTGGAAAACAGTTAATGATCAATCATGCCTAGGTGAGGAAGCCTCCATAAAATCCCTAAAGTACAGGGTTTGGAGAGCTTCTGGGAGGATGGTGCCTGGAGAGGGGGTGGAGGCTCCATGCCCTTTCCCACACACCTCACCCTACACATCTCTCCCGCCCAGCTATTCACCTGTGTCCTTTATTACCTTTTCTAATAAACTGGCAAGTGTGTTTCCCGAGTTCTGTGAGCCACTCTAGCAAATTCATTGAAACTGAATTTGAACTGGAGGAGGGGTCGTGGAGAACTTCCAATTTGTAGCCAAATCAGACGGAAGTTGTGAGTAACCTGGGGACCTACTGTTTTTCAATTAACATCTGAGTAGGGGACAGTCTTGTGGGAGTGAGCCCTTAAACTGGAATCTGATGCTAACTCTAGGAAGTGTCAGAATTGATTTGAATTGTAGGCCACCCAGCTGGTGTTAGAGAATTGTTGGGGGGGGGGGGTCCCCATGCCTGGCATCAGAAGTGATGTGACTGTGGCAGTGATATGAGAGTTAAGGAGACACAAAGGAGGAAGGGTGAGGTTTTCCCTACTCAAAAGGAATGTGAAGGAAGTGGTTCTGCTCATTTTCACCTTGTAAGCTGTTTCTATTCTTATTTTTTTCAATTAATCACAAAAGAAGCAAAGTCATTAAAATATTCAGTCATTCTTTTATCCCACAAATCACAGATATCTGTGATATGCAGCCATTAAATCCTCTTGCTAACCTGAGATCATTTGCAATCTGTGTATTTCAGCACCTATTTGTCAGTCACTGTATGAAATGCTAGGGACATCAGGGTGACATAGTATGAGTTTATGCTCGTAAAAATGTCTTCACAGGTGTAAGCATTTGCCTACATAGATTCACGTAGATATATGCACACACAGGCATGCACATATACACACACACACATAGATACACATAGGTAAATGCCAGAACACAGGAACACACTACCAAGCATGTGTTAATGATGTGCCAGAGAATTGTGGGCCAAAGAATGTATGGAGGGGAACTTTATCACTATGTGTACTATATAATGAGCCTTTTACATTGAAAATGTATCTGACTCTGTGGTTCTTCCTGACACCAAATACATGGTCTCTTCCAATACTAATTTTCCAAGTCTCTGATTCTCAGACACTGGGCATCCTATCATTCAATCCTATCTGACACTAACTATTCAGAGTCAGCATCAGACCTTAACCGGCTTAAGGGCTCACTCGGTTCTACAAGACTGCCTTCACTTCAGAGACCGGTCACAAGTACCAGGTCCCCATGTTAGCTGCACTTCTATGCAACATGGCTATAAATGTGGGGTTCCCACAACCTTCCCCTCTCAGGTGTGATTTTGCTAGAACTCACTCAGGAAAATATTGGACTTAAAATTACAGTTTATTATGGGGGCACCTGGGTGGCTCAGTTGGTTAAGTATTCTGCTTCGGCTCAGGTCATGATCTCACGGTTTGTGAGTTCCAGCCCTGAATCGGGCTCTTTACTCTCAGTGCAGAGCCTGTTTCCTGTCTCCCTGTCTCTATCTCTCTACCCCTCTCTCAAAAATAAACAAACATTAAAAAGTTAGTTTATTATAAATCATACTATGAAGAGGTACTCAGGTGAGGTCCAAAGAGGTCCTGCGTGGAGGAGCCTCTGTCCCCAAGGAGTTGGGGTGCACTGCCCTCCTAGCAGGTGGATGGATCTGCCCACGTGGAAGCTCTCTGAACCCTGTCAAGTTTCTATGGAGGTTCCGTTACACAGGCACGACTGATTAAATCACTGGTTACTGGTGACAGAACTCCAGCTGCAGCTCTTCTCCTGTCCCGAGTTCCAGGTGGAGCTGAAAGTTCCAGCCCTCGAACCAAAGCTTGGTCTTTTGGGGGACCAGCCCTCATCCTGAAGCTATCTAGGGGCTTACCTTGAGTCACCTCATTAGCATAAACCTAGATATGCTCAACGGGGCTTGTCATGAAAACAAAAGACACTCCTGCCACTTAGGAAATAATGGGATATAGGAGCTCAGCCAGGAACCAGAGACAAAGAGCAAATACATATATATATTTTTATTATGCCACAATGAGTCATTTGTGTAATTAAAGGCAGTACAAAGGTGGAAGGTGACAACTCGATCTTGAACAGAGAAGGCTCTGTTTTCTGAGATGAGCTGAAGTTCTAAGGCAACCCTGTGTAGATCTCAACAACCCGAGCCAGCACCAGATAAGAACTTGTAACTCCTTCTGGCCAAATCTGTACTCAAACACCAGTCCAGCGACCTGTTCACAGAGGGCCTCTGAAAGGTGTGCAAACCTTCCATTTTACTGGGCACTTCCAGTTCTAGTCAAGGACAAATCCAGATGGAAGTAAGGCTGGGTATGGAAGTCATCGGGCTGTGGTCTCCTCAAAAACCAGTGTCTACTGAATTCTACTTGATCTACTCCCACAGGGGACTCAGAATAATCAGGTAAGTAACAACCATGCTCATACACCGATTAGAAGAAGGCTGCTGAGATCACACAGCCTACCAGGTCACCTCTGGAAAAAAACCATCAAAGAGAGTTCCTAACGCTTACGTGCCATGAAATGGTGACCTCTCCTGAGGAGCTGATATGCTTTGTCCTGAGTCAAGGCATCTGATGTAACTTACCGTGATTTTCTGGCTGGAATGACTGTCAGAGATAGTAAGCAGGTACACACTGATGGTTGTACCAGCAGGATCCTGCAGATCCATACACCACAGTCCAGCACTAGTCATGCACGAACTCTAGGAACAACGTGTTCCTGATCCCACTCTGCCCTAATTTTGAAGGGACATCTATTTCTCCCCAGAGCCCATTTTTCCCCATTTACACTTTTTATTTAGTCAAACTGATTTTTTCAGGCCTCCCCAAATCCATGAAAGACTCAACTTTTGAATACAACAAACCAAAAGTCACTTGGGCCTTCATCATTTTCTTCTGTTTCAGAAAATGCCCAGTAACAGGGATGTTAGTTCTTCTGAATCTGCCCTAATTTTCTGTTCAGAAATCTTGGTCTTAGGACAAGGATGTCCCACGAATGGCCGTATGCAACTCCAAGAACCCCTACTCGTCCTTTACTGGATCTCTTTTATTCCTGAGAATCCAGGACCTGTGCGGTGAAGGGCAAGTTCATTTTGGATGATCCATTCGCTCTGGGCACAGACACGGACACTGCTGCTGTGCACCCACCTTAAGTCAAAGTCAGTATCTGTAACTTTCTCTTTACTTGGTGCCCCCAAAGGCTTTCTAACCCAGGCAAATAAAACATAACATCTGAATGTGGGGGAGGCATGCCTTTCTTCTGTGAAGCAGAAGTGGCCTGAATGAGGGGTGCCTAGATGGCTTAGTCATTTAAGTGTCTGACTCTTCATCATGGCTCAGGTCATGACCTCACAGTTTGTGAGATCAAGTCTGGCATCAGGCTGTGCAATGACAGTGCAGACCCTGCCTGGGATGCTCTCTCTCAAAATAAATAAACTTAAAAAAGCAGCAGCAGCATGAATGAGAAAGGGAAAGTGGGAAGAAGGACATACAGAAGGTTAGACTCTGGACATATAATCCCTTAAAATCCACATCCCCATTTGTACTTGGTTAAATGGTCCCCCCCCCGCCCGCCAAAAAAAGCTGTATCCATGTATTAACCCCATGAACCTGTGAATGAGACTTCATGTGGAAAAAGAGTCTTTGCCGATGTAATTAAGGATCTTAAGAGAATCCAGGAGTATCCAGATGGACCCTACATCCAGGGAAGATGAGACCACGTGAACATGGAGGCAGAGTAGAGACAAGCTGCCACAAGCCAAGGAACACCTGGAGAATCTGTTAGAAAAAGGGAAGGAAGTGAATGGATGTTGGGCAGATGTGCTGGAAATACCCAAGACCACCCCTCAGGGTCAGTGATTAACTAGGACTGACAGACCTCAGCAAATTATTACCACGAAAGCATACAAAGCAAAACAGCAACGAGAAAAAGTCCAAATGGCAAAATCTGGAGGAAATCAGGTGCAAGCTCTCAAGAGTCCTGTCTCTGTGAAGTCACACAGGAAGCCTTTACCTCCCCCAGCAACACACAATGTGTTGGCTTACTAGAGACATGGTGCCCACGGCTCTTACTGGGGGCTGTTCATGTAGGCACCCACTGCCTAGCACATGCCAAAATCCCAGATTCCCAGAGGAGAGAAGGTGTTGAGAATAAACCATACTGCTTGAAAGAACGGTTTAAGCACAGTGAGCCATTCAATAGGGACTGATGGGAACCCTCCCCAAAGCTAAGTTCCCAGATGCCAGGCAAGGGACCTGTAAGCAACCTTGCAAGAAGGCCTTTCTAAAAAGAGCTGTGTTAACTCTTTTCTGCAACAGCAAGTAACCAACTGTGTCTGCTACAATATATTAGCAGGTTAGGAAAGTCCTACGGTCACCAAAATTGACGCTGAGAAAAACATTCCATAAAAATCCAAAACCTATTTCAAACTTGAGCCCTTAGTCAGTTAGGAATTCATTACTTCCACAGCATGAAAAACAAAACAAAACACTACCTGTAATTTTTTTTATTAACACCATGCTCTAATCAGCTGAGCTAACCGGCCACCCTACCTGTAATTTTTTTAATACATACAATACACTACCATTCTCATGTTTCTAAAACTCACACAAAAGATTATGTATTGTTTGTAGATACATACACATCTAGTAAAAGCATGAAGACGAGTGATATAAAACAAGATAGCAGTTATTATAGGAAGGAAAGAAAGACTGCACCTCCACCCCCCTCCACTGCTTCAAGTCAGTCCCAAATCCGGTTGTGACTTATCTTTCTGACCAACTGGCTATAAATCAGGTTCCCATGACCTCCTCCTCGGGTGCAATTAAATTGAGAAAGTGGCTCACAGAAGTCAAACCTTTTACTTACTAGGTTACCAGCTTATTATAAGAGGCTGTCACTTGGGAACGGTCAGAAGAGAGGCAGATGGCATGGGGAAAGGGTGTGGACCTTCCTTGCCCTTCTCCTGGTTCTCCACTCTCCCAGCTCCACACGTTCTCCAGGCCAGCAGCTCCCTGAACCGTGGCCATTTGGGGTTTTATGGAGGTTTTATTACATAGGCATGATTAACTCATTGGCCAGTGGTGACCGATTCCACCTACAGCTCCGGTCCCTCCCCAGAGGTTAGGGGGTGGCCTAAGAGTTTCAACCCTCCAATCACAAAGTTGGTTCCCCTGGCAACCAGCCCCCCACCCACAGATGCTTAGCAAAAGTCGCCTCATTAATATAGCAAAAGACACCTTAACCACTCTCACACTTGGAAAATCCCAAGGATTTTAGGAGCTCTTGCCAGGAACAGGGACAAAAACTATATATATATATATATATATATATATATATATATATATATATACATATATATATGTATACATATATACGTGTGTATATATATACATATATACGTATATATATATACGTATATATATATATTTAGTTTATTTTGGGAGCAAGCAAACGAGAGAGACAGAGCGCACGAGGGCAAGCTTGCGAGCAAGGGAGGGGGAGAGGGGGAGGGAGAGAGAGAAGAGAGAGAATCCCAAGCAGGCTCCACACCCAGGGCAGAGCCGGACGCAGGGCTCATTCTCACCAATGGTGAGACCATGACCTGAGCCAAAATCAAGAGAATAACTAAATATTTTAAATATTCAAAAGCAATCCAAATAGATGCAAGTATTTAATCATACTCTAGTCACAACATCACTCCTTCTTTTACCTGTTTATTAGTGTAGCCACTAAAACAATTTTTTCATAAGAGAATTTGTTTCATGGAAATGTTTAGAATATGAAATTAACTAAAAAGAGCAAATTATCCCAGTATTCCCAGAGTTTATCTGAATTGTGAAAATTAAGCAGAGGGACACCTGGGTGGCTCAGTCGGTTAATGATCGACTCGGGCTCAGGTCATGATCCCAGAGTTGTGTGATGGAGCCCCGAATAGGGCTCCGTGCTGATTCTCTCTCTCCCTCTGCCCCTCTCCCCGGCTTGCGCACTCCCTCTTTCTAAATGAAAGGGAAAGAAAAGAAAAGAAAAGAGAAAAGAAAAGACTTGAAATACACTTCTGATTAAAAATTATGTTTGGGAAATAGAATTTGGGAGGTTACAAATGTTGTTTTACTGGTGTCAGAATCTGAAAGCAAATATCCAAATAAACTTCCAGTGAAAACGTAAGTTTGGTTACAGTAAAGTCATTTTTAACAGAAGGCTTAGCAGTTTAGATTTGCTTAATCCTTGATCTCCCTAAAATTCTTATCTGTGGGGGCCTGAGGAGCCTTGCAAACCAGTCGGTGGAGAGGAAACTGAACAGCGCTTTCATCGACAGATACCCACTCCCCTCCAGTTCTCAATCCCGGAACGCCCCGGCACAGTGACCCGCACAGACCCCAAACTCTGACCTCACGATCTCCACAGAGCCTGAATGCCCGACCACCGCAGTCCCCCGGGCCTGGCGGCAAAGGCATCGCAACCTCAGAGCCACGGACCTCCGTGGATCCTCTCCCTTCCTTAAGCTCTTCCGCCGAGATTCACACGCTGATCTGGGTTCTCCCCGAGTCCACTGCGACCTCCGGCGGCCACGCCTCACCTCTGCGAATTCGCCCGTTCCCGGCCGCACACCCAGCTCTGGGGGCACCGGCTACGGCGGCCGGGGCGGGGGCGCGCGAGCGTCCCCACTTCCGGCGGCACCATGGGCGCACGCGCGCTGCAAGGCGGTCTTTCGCCCCCGCGGTCTTTCCGCCGCTCACCTAGGGGGTTCCGGTCAGATTACTGGCGCCTACGTGTGTCCCTCCCATGGGGAAGCTCGCAAACAACGCTGCGCTCGCCCGAGAAATGGTCGGAAACGAGCGGGCTGTGAGCGCGGCCTTGTTGGCGGAACGTCAGGGGTCTGTGGAGCCGGGAAGGGGGCGCGGGGGAGGGAAGGGTCCGCTCGGCTGGGATCTAAGTGGGCATCCCAGCCATTGAGGTTAGGCTTGGAAGGTGTGCTGGAGCGTCGCGATCTAAATTCCCAGCCAAGGTCGCCTTTTGTTCCAGGCCTGTTTGGAAAACACCAATAGTTGAAATCTGGAAGTATGGGCTATGAAATAACGGGATGTAAAAGCAGCTGTGACGCTATCGTAGCTTCAGCAATGCGGTGCGAATGGTTTTTGAAGAAATCACGCACCAGCATTCTTGATGGCAGTGTCATCAGGTCTTAAAGCCTGCTGCTTACAGCTAACGTTACTGGAACCTCCGAGGATTCTGGAGCATCTGCGTGCCGTTTTGCCGCATGGTGCGCGGGTCCGCGTTCTCTGCGCCCGCCTTCTCTGCGCTCTAGGCCAGGCTGCCCCACGTGCAGCGGCTTTGAGCCCTGACAGAGACATATCAAGTGCTGCAAACTTTTCAGACGATATACATGAGTCAACCGTGACTTTGTGAAAATCTCCGAAAGCTGTTAAAACTACCCCATTCCAATAGGAGCTGCTGTGAATTTTTTTTTTTTAAAGATCAAAGAAATCTGAGAATTGGCTCGTGCACAAATTGGGCTGCTATCCAATTTAAAATGTAGTTTCTTTGGGGCGCCTGGCCGGCTGGCTGAGGACCATGCGACTTTTGATCCCGGGTTGGGGAGTTTGAGCCCCATGTTGGGTGTAGAGATGAAAAGTTTTTTAAAAAGTATCTTGTGTTCATTGGCTATTGAGAGTTGTCTCTTCCGTGAATATTTGCCTATTGGTTTTTACTCTTGTCATTTTCTTACTGATTCGTGAGAGTTCTTTATATAATCTTAAGTTTTCATCCTTTTTCGGTTAAGCATTAAAAAAAGATCTCAGTGCGCAGCTTGTTCTTACTGTTTTTGATGTATTTTAGATGGAATATCTAATTTTAATGTAGCTGAAATTTAACAATCTTTCCTGTTGTAGTTTCTACCTGTCTTTTAAAAGAAATCCTTCCCCTCATTAAGATCATAGTCTCTTTTATTTTCTTCTAAAACTTTTAGGGTTTCACAGGTCAGCACCTTATGGGCAAAATCCAGCCCCCAGTCTGTTTGGCTTTGCCCTTAAGATTGGTTTTTTTTTTATTAAAAATTTTTTTCAACGTTTTTTATTTATTTTTGGGACAGAGAGAAACAGAGCATGAACGGGGGAGGGGCAGAGAGAGAGGGAGACACAGCATCGGAAACAGGCTCCAGGCTCCGAGCCATCAGCCCAGAGCCTGATGCGGGGCTCGAACTCACGGACCGCGAGATCGTGACCTGGCTGAAGTCGGACGCTTAACCGACTGCGCCACCCAGGCGCCCCTGTAATTAAAAATTGTTTAATGTTTATTATTTTTGAGAGAGAGAGAGAGCGTGAGTGGGGCAAGGGCAGAGAGAGAGGGAGACACAGAATCCGAAGCAGGCTCAAGGCTCTGAGCTGTGAACACAGAGCCCTATGCTCATGAGCCGTGAGATCACGACCTGAGCCGAAGTCGGATGCTCAACCGACTGAGCCATCCAGGCGCCCCTGGTTTCTAAATTTTTAAAGGGTTAAATATATGGAGGTTGTATGTGGCCTGAAAATTCTAAAATACTGTCTGGCCCTGTGTCAAATCAGTTTGTTGTTTTTCAGTCTTAATACATGAAGCATTGATTTGTGTAGGGTGTCAGGTAGACACCTTAATTTACTTTTTCCATAGGATAACTAATTATCATTGGACTGTTTTAAAAATAACCACCATAAGGGGTTTGGCCAGCCTTTGTCCCAGGTTCCTAAGAGGTAATCTCTAAACCCTTAGAATTTCCTGAGTGATAGGTGTGTCTTTTTATACATGAAGGGCCCCCAAACCACAAGGTAGTTTCTGCTGAGGAGATGACTCCCCTCAGGAGCTGGCCAGCCAGAAAAACCAACCATGTGATTAGAAGATTGAGGCCTTGAGCCATACGATATCATTCTGACCTCCAGGGGCTAGGAGAGACTAGAGACTGAGTTTGACCCCAACTCGATCATGTCTGTGTAACAAAACCCAAATTAGACCTCTGGATAGGAAGCTCAGGGGAAATTCCCTGGTTGGCAATACTCTTCAGTATGTCATTTCTCAGTGCCCGGTGGGTGATGCATCTTGAAGGGTGATGGAAGATTTAGGTTTACAACTTTACAGACTCTTCTCTATGTGTCTCTTTTGGGTTGTTCTTATTTGTACCTTTATGCTATTATAAAACTAGAATAAGAATAGGACTTTTGGTGTTAAGTCTCTCTTTTTTTCAAGTTTATTTATTTTTGCGAGAGAGGGAATCCCAAGCAAATTCTGCACTATCAGCATGGAGCCCTACCGGGGACTCAAACTCATGAATCTTGAGATCATGACCTGAGCCAAAGTCAACAGTTGGTCGCTTAGCCGCTTCACCGACTGAACCACCCAGGCACCCCTGTAAGTCTTTCTTATCTGAGGGTGGATATGGGAACTCCTAAATTTGTAGCCAATTGGTCAAAAGGTGAGAGTGGCCCTGGGAACCCCTGAACTTATAGCTGGTGGCTGAATTGAGGACAGTACCCTTAACCTTGATTTTAACTAACTCTGAATCATACCCCTTTTTGCACTGACTTGTAATGCCATCTCAGATATCCATATCCAATTTCCATGTGTATAGATCAATTTCTGAGCTGTCTTTTACAATTTGTAATCTGTCTCTATCCCTGTACTTGATACTGCAATATATTAATTACTATTCATTTAGAGTAAATCTTGTTTGTTATCAAGTAGAGCAAAACCCCCATCATATTTCTGTGTTAGAATTGCTTGAAATATTTTTTGGCAGTTTGTCTCCTGTGAGAATTTTAGGACTGGCCTGTTAGGATTATAGAAACCCGATCGGGATGCTTTTTGGTTACACAATAGATAATAATACAAGGTCCTTGCATAGCGTGTCAAGGAGATTGGACTTTTTTTTAAGTCCATAGAGAGCTACAAATGTATTTATTTATTTTAATGTTTATTTATTCATTTTGAGAGAGGGAGAGAGAGAATCCCAAGCAGGCTCCACACTGTCCGTGCAGAGCCCGAAGTGTGGCTCAAATTCACGAACCATGAGATCCTGCCTTGAAGTGAAATCAAGAGTCAGACGCTTCACCAATTGAGCCACCCAGGTGCCCCAATGAATTTCTTAATAGGATTTCAGGACTGAGTGAGCGTGTTGCGTTATGTTATAATAAAACCAACCCCAAAATATCTGTGGCTTAAAACAACAAAGATCAACTTCTCACTCGTATTCCATGTGCCTGTGGGTCGCCTGGGACTTCTGCTCCACATCATTGTCCTCACTCGGGATCCCTGGATAGGACTCCTCCCTGGAATATTACTGGTTCCTAGGAGAGATGGAACCAGAAGATAGAAGAGTACAAACTGGCTAAGGCTTCTGCTGATTCGTCAACCAAGCCTACCTCATGGTGATATGTAACTTCAAATACGTGGAGAAGCACAGTTGTTCTGTGTGTGTCCCAAAGGAGAAAGACTTGTGCACGGCCAGCCCTAATGACTTTCACAGCCCTCTACGAGGACTGAAATAATGGGGGTATGAAAAATGAAAATGACAGAAAGAATGGAGATGCAATTGTGCATAGGACTGTAGGCCCTAGAAACTATAGCATTTAAGTCAGAGGGTCTGATAGGTGTTGGAAACGGGTACTTAACACTGACAAAACCAGGGACCTCATGGCTAAATTGCTGGATTACAAGACAAGTCAGTGATTTTAAGAGCATTTTGCAACGTCTTCTAAAACCCATGTACACTGGGGGTAGCCTCAGTCACACAGGTGAGCCAACCTGGATATCCAGCTTAAGGAATGTAGGGCTAGTCAGTAATGTCAAGTGTATACCTCTGCCTTCTGCCTTGTTTTTTTACAGCTTTCTGGTACCATGTGTTCCTTGCTTTTATCTTTCATTTAAAAAAAAAAACAAAAAACAAAAAACTTGAGTCACATACAAAATAAAATTCTTAAAAAAAATTTTTTTTAACATTTATTTATTATTGAGAGACAGAGGGACACAGAGCACGAGCAGGGGAGGGGTAGAGAGAGGAGGAGACACAGAATCTGAAGTAGGCTCCAGGCTCTGAGCCATCAGCACAGAGCCCGACGTAGGGCTCGAACTCATGATCTGTGAGATCATGACCTGAGCCGAAGTCCGTCACCTAACCAACTGAGCCACCCAGGCGCCCCACAAATAAAATTCTTAATTCCCACTATCCAGCATCAATATATGCCTTCCATTCATCAAGATTATTTTTCTAATTGAGGAATTTTGAGATAAACCAGTGATCCTTGGGTTTATATAATCTGATGCTCAGTAGAGGGCAAGTCTTGATGTAAAAATACCAAGAGGACCTGAATCCACACAGTAACAAGGGTCCGCAAGGAGACCATCGCCAGATAAGTCCTCTGCAGATACTTCTTCAACATGCCAGTTCTGAAAACCCACTGCCAATTTTAGGGCCGTTACCTGTTACGATAGGATGGGGAAGTAAACTCGGAGGGGCCCGTACCATGTCGTGAGAATAAATGCAAAGCTTTATTCTTTTTTAATATGGGCTTGACATGTTTTTGCACCAGCCGCCACAATGCTGACAGTCAGCACAAGGTGAAAAAGATAAAGATTCTGTAGCTCAAAGTAGTCTTCTGTCACTGTTACACTTCCCTTGCACCCCAGGCAAACCATGGCTAGTTGAGAGAGAAGCCATGGGTCCGCAATTCAATCACTAGCTCCTAGTCTCACGTCATAGTGAAAGAATAGAGTCAAATGACATTGCCAATGGGTTTGTCAAGAAAGAGGTAGTTTATGTAACTTTCAATCTCACAAGATCCTGTAGATGCTGTAAATGTTTTGATGAAAGTCTAGGTTTGGAATTAAAATTTGAGAGAGAAGTGAGAGTAGTCTTTGCTGTACTTTGGTTGGTATCTGATAGCAGTTCCTTCTCTGCAAATACAGTTTGACTGACAGAGCGAGCAAGGATGAGCGATGAACCACATATTTTCCACCTTGGTAGTGAGTAGATTCTTCCCCTTTTAATATTTTGAACATGGCCAGGCAAAGTTGGGAAGCACTTATCCTGCTGACTTTCCTGTTGGAAAGTGGTTTGGGGTGGGAGCTCTGGAGGGTCAAGATGGTGAAGACTCTTGATTCACTGAAATGCTTCTGGGCTCACAGGTAAGAATCTTTGTCTTCAAGAGAATAGTGTTCTCCTCAACTTCCCAGGCTTTACACTCAAGACAATGGAGAGCTTCCAGTCATTCCAGAACAAATCCTTTGGGAATGCACACAGTAGAACAGTAGTATTTATTTTGCTAACCATAATGTCACATTGTAGTTGACATGCCATTATGACCCTTCACACCCTCAAGATTTGCAAACTTTCCCCATGTGCAAGACTAGCGGTGCCTGGGTTTGGGATAGAAAGTCTGTCAGCGTCCCTGGGATTAACGTGAGCCTTTCTTTTTCTTTTCTTTTTTTTTTTTAATTTTTTTTAATGTTTATTTATTTTTGAGAGAGAGAGAATGAGAGCAGGGGAGGGGCAGAGAGAGAGGGAGACACAGAATCCGAAGCAGGCTCCAGGCTCTGAGCTGTCAGCACAGAGCCCGATGTGGGGCTTGAACCCGCAAACCATGAGATCATGACCTGAGCCAAAGTCGGACGCTTAACCGACTGAGCCACCCAGGCGCCCCAAACATGAACCTTTCTGACTTTTGTCTCCTGCTGTACTGTACTGCTCAGGGTGGGCATTACCACCTAGTCTACATCGCTTATTGAAAACAGAGGAAGAGGATCTACCCCCTTTACAAAGGCTGCTTCTGGTTGTGTGACCAGTGAGTATAAAAGACCCTGAGTAAACTTGTGCCTTGATTTCCCCGAAACTGAGACACTTCACATGTATGTTGGTGGCTTATGATTTAGAGACAGTGTGCTGTGACTGAAAAAGGTCCCTGGAATCTGTGCCCGCATGTTGCAGAGCACCTTGAGGTTTACCTGTTTTATTTTTTCTCAGGCTATGTGGTAGCATTTGTCTTTATTGGAGTCTTCTGTAAGTGTAAGTCGTGGAGCTGTGGGAGTCCATTCAGTCACCTCAAACTGGGTACCTGCTGTAGTGGTACTTCCCCCATTTTAATGTAAAACAATGTGCTTGGAAAGGAAACCTACTTTAGTAAAATTAAACTCATTTTGTCTTAGAGTTTAATTCCCATGAGGGGGTGCCTGGATGGCTCCACTCTGACTCTCGATTTTGGTTCGGGTCATGATCTCGTGGTCAATGAAATTGATTGGGCTCCAGGCTC